CCTGAAGTTTTTCTAACTACTTCTCCAAGTGCCGAATTCACTCAGCAAGCCTTGAGGAAAGTATTCAGCCATGAAGGTGTACCAACTGTTTTGGTCACTGACAACGGCACACACTTCACTGCAAAATTCCTCGAGGAATGGTTGAAGGGTCTTGGTTGTCGAGATCTGTTTACTGCTCCGCGACGTCCCCAGTCGAATGGACTTGCTGAAAATTTTGTCCGAACACTTAAATCTGCTATTATTTAACTCTCTCCTACTACTTTTGTGGAATTGGACCGTGGGATTGATAATTTTCTAATGCAATACAGGAACATAGTCCATTCCGTTACTGGGAAGAGTCCCGCGCTTCTATTTAAATCTCGTTCGTTGCGTACAAGTCTTGACTGTGCCAAAACGGCTGACGTTACATTTTTCAAGGGTAATGATTTACGACCCGCAACAGGAATATTACTTTCACCAAATGGCAAACGGATGGTCACAATTCTCGATTCGGAAGATCTCTCTTGTCATCGGAGACACATTGGCGAGGTTGAGTTCAATACCAGAGGTCAGTCTGTTAACGGCACTCCTGCTGTTTCAAATACTAATGAGTCCTTTGTAGATGATCTTGTGGTATCCGAACAAAATGCTGTATCTGAAGAACGTACTACCTGTGAAGACTCTGAAGTTTCCATTCCGAGAGGATCCGAAAGATTGCGGTCAAGACCACCACTGGACTATAAACACCCGCACGCTCATTCAAGGTGTGGCGGATGTGATGAACATGACTGATGCTCTATTCGTTGCTCTATTCATTATTCTCTTGTTTTAATATTCCATATGCTGTACATATTCGCCAATTCGAATACATACGTGCTGGTTGTCACTCTTCGCTGAATTCTGGATTTCTAGTTTGTCGGGTTATACCGATATACGTACGAAACTTAATTCCCACAGTCAGGTTCAGTTCATTTTTCAGCCACAATTCGTTCACTGAACTTCCATTGTACTAGCCGATACACCGTTCAGTGAGAACAAGAAAGATCAGGAAAAAACCGCGGTTGAGGCGACGGCCAAATTATTTCGCTTACGGTAGATGGTTCTATTTGCCGCAAGAAGTGAGGAAGCTATCATAAGAAGGCGATATATTTGATCCATTGACATTGGACGCCATTGATTGTACAGCACCAACCATTGGTTCGTCGCATCCCGCTGTCTCCATCCGTATTCTGTGGAGTGTGACCAGCTGATACATCGAGGGAGAAAGACTATCGGGGACTATCTGATGTACTTCAGCAACGCTCACTTAATTTTACCACCAAACCCGTACAGTGCTTTGGAGGTAGCGACAGCCAAACACGGGGAGCTTTCAAAGGTCTTCCAACAGCAACGGTCTCGTCTCTGATCCACGAAGTAGGACTGACGAAACAACAGTAGTGTACACTCTACACCTAAGAGTCAGGGTGATGTCCCGTAGAATCCACAAATATCGGAGGTTCGCAAACTATGTCCTGGCGTTCCGAGTTCGTTAAGTGGTTTCGTCTTTAGCCAACCCGGATAGGTAAAAGTATCCAGCACACCAGTCACTTCGTATGCAGGCATCAGTTGTGCATCTGATCCCAACCCGGCTTGCAGTAAAACTTTACGGTTTATAGGTGGGAACTGTGAAGCAACAGTATTTAGGTTAAATTAACTTGCATCTCTAAAGTGTCTGATCCAGGAAAGGCAATAAGTTCGGCGTTCTCACTGTCTGTGAGAGAATAGCTTGGAGCACTTCGATCTCCAAGGTGTCACTGTCAGGCGAAGAAGACTCAAAGAATGACTCTAAAGTTAGAGAAAGGGCGACAGAGGGCACTCTTGCCTGAAAACATCGGATGAGGTGAACGTGGCGTAGACATTTACCCACCAACGGGAGACATAAACAGCGTGTATGAGAGACGACAGACAATGTCACTGAAGACCAACGGAATCAAAAGCAGATTTGACATCGAGAAAGATTATCACTACTGGTCCGCAGAAGGAGTAACTCGGCTCCAGCACTTGTCGGAAAGTGATAATCATCAGTCATCACCAGAGAAACAGAAAACAGTGTTTAGACTGACGCTTCACAACCGTACAACCAAAGTTTACCTGAGAATGCTTAAAGCCTTAAGGTGAAAAAAGGAGAGAGAATTGATGCTGATCCATCGCAATTATTTTGAGGTGCCTACACATCCAAGTGCTCAGTCAGGTAATCGGGAAAGAAACTGACAACGATAACTCATCATTCCTTACAACTTCTCCAGTCAACCTCGAAAGGAGGGGACAAGTGGATCCTGTCCTAAAAGGTGGATCGCACTTAACTACCTTGACTCTTCGTAATCTCGCCCACACCGTTCCACCAAAACAAACGTTGTCCACCTCGCAGTTTGCAACATTCTGAAGTAGGCATAGAGAATAACACTAGTCTCGGTAGACAGTTGTTGAACATACATGGCACATAACTGGGTTATTGTAGGTGATGATGCTGGATATTATCTGCGATTAGGGTACCTGCTGTATAACCAAATACCAATTTTCTAATTACCTCGCTATGAATTCGTTGGCGCCATCCAACACCAGAAACCCTTTCGAGACCTCGGTGGTCAAAACCTAAAACGCAGACACCACGTCTCACAGCCATAAAGCAAAGGATCCCTAACTGTAACCTGGTACAGGCGACAACTGAGACCCAGTGCTTTGCCTTCCTGACACCACAATTGACGCAAATTAGCAAACGCGATTCGGATCTTTGAGATTCGTGCACTAACCTGGCCAGACACTCCCATCAGAGCTAATACAACCACCGAGTTATGAAAAGTTCTCCACAGCCTCGAATGATTCACCTTGAAATGTGAGGGACATGTTCAGAGACTGCACGTTGTAAAGCATGATTTTAACCTTTGAAGGTGCTAGGAGTATGCCAAAATATGGTCATCCAGGTTGGGGATTGGAACATGACTTGCTCCTTGAAAACATAGGCTGCTGTGACCGTCTTACGCCAACCTCCGCTGCCTCACGATTAGGCTTATGGGTCAAATGTTTTGGTTGACCATCCTAATCGTCCTCTTATCTAGGTCTAGGCGCCCCGTCAATATCCCGTATAACCATGAATTGCACAATTACCAATAAACGCATGCTACGTCGACCGTCGTGCGTTGCCGTCATCCTTACTTTTTGCATACAAGAAAGAGGGTAAGCCAACACATGGTATTGCTGAAAAGCCCCTCTTTCTTTCTCACATATCCCCGCTCCTCACCCCGTTTCTGGTGACACCTTCATAAGTCCATTCTTAAGGACTGACGGATCTGTTCGCTATCCATCGCCACCGACTGCAACATCAACAGCTGACTCAGACAACATAGCCACAGGCACTCCAAAATCATTTCTCAAACACTGACGCTCGGTTCATCTGGTAGCCTTTGACGTTCGCAGTCTTAAACAAGTCACACAAGAGACCACGATGGATATACTTTTTGTCGATTTGTGTTATCCGTCTGAAACGCTTCTGATTGCGTACCTCTGGGGATATTATTGTTTTAAGTCACCAAGCTGAAGGGTCTGTGGTAGAAACGTTTACTCGATGATGGTCGCCTCTGTGTGGTTTGCTTAGCAACTTCTTTGTGAGCGCACCAATAATTGCTTGTTGTTAGTCGTATCTACTTACGCCGGAACAGACTGTAGCTCTGATACACTCGAGGATAGCTTTTATGACGCCACGAGCGTCCTGTTCAGCCTGTCCCAGGTGTCACTTGTTGTTGTTATTTAGGAGACAACAATGTGTACTGCTGAAGCTCAATTGGGTGGTTGCTTTGGACTGCAATCGACGACGAAGATCTATTGCAATTATGTGCTGACCATCGACCGTTTCTGTGAAGTGCAGAAACGTATTCCAAAAGAATCGAAGCCATTTGGCCACATGGTGCCCCCGCGTACCCGAGCCATAGATAGACCGCACAACCAACAGTTATAGGTGGTATAGTTCAGTCACTGACTGTCACTTACTCTGCAACACCTGTATGGATTAAAATCACACTTGTTCGTTGCTGCTTCTCGTTACGCTTTTCAGGGACACATTAAATGCACATACCTCGCCTGGCAATTGAGTTTTCCCACCTTCATGAGAAGTAAACCAACTGAAGTCCATTTCGAACAATGTCCTGTGATGCTGACTCCTACTAAAAGTTACTGTCTACAGCCTTCAATTTTCTGAGCGTCCGCCTGTGGGGTAGTTAGGTCAAATAGACCCGATCAGTGGGCCTCGAGCGGCACTCTAAAACTGTCTGAATCGAACACTTATTCCTCCAGCCTGAGAGTACACTACCGCTGGACAAACTGCAAAACTCCAGATGAAAAAGAGCGCCTGCTCGGATCAAGTTTGGTGGATCTAAAAAGTCGAAAAGATGGAGGGTGGAAGAAGCCTGGGAATGCGTATAAACTGTCCCTGCTGATACGTGCAACGAGCACAAGGAAACCTACGACGAGCGAAACAGACACCTATAACAAAGGCCTGGTTATCTGTGAGAAAGAGCGCTTGAATCGATGGGTTCAACACTTTGAGGGCCAATTTAAATGGCAGTCCGCAGTAGCTCAGCCCGTTTCCCAACCCGAAACAAATCCCAAGGCAGTGAACTTGGAACTCCCAGCGGCGTCGGAAATAAGCGAGTCTCAAGCACCACAGAGCTGTTTGTCGTGATGAACCCCAGTCCGCTCTGCTGGGCGATGGCGATGAAATCCTCATGCGGCGAATTGAAAATTGAATTGAATCGTCCAGCTGTAGCACCCTTTCGGTGCCTAGCTGCCATGCTACCCGAAGGAAGCACGAGGGCTGGGATACTGCCAACTTGCTCAAGCCTAGATAGGGGAAGTCAAGACGCAGAGGTCGAGCTCGAACCACGGACCTTCTGGTCAGTAAATGCATGCTCTCGCCTTAACCGGTGCTTATCTAACTTACTGCGAAAGAGATATAGAGAGATCGTTCTTACTAAAGAGGGTGAGTCGAATGTGGTGCTCAGTTCAAAAAGAAATGGCCACAGTGAGCGTGGGATAAGCTTGAACCCTGATTTGACGAGTGCCTGAAGACGGGACTTGAAAACAACCGACAGGACTCCAGCCAAGAATGGGCCATGTATGCCAAATCTTCACACCCCGAAGCTGTTGTTCGTTTCCAGGGGGGTTTTACGCCTGGAAAGCCAACTTGCGTAGGCCCTTTGCCTTTGGTGGACGTAATTTTTTGCCTCGTCGAAAATTTCGATGGCTGCTGCTTGTAGCTCCTTTGGATGCCTGGTTTCGTCGTATTCAAGGATTTGGAGTGAACATGCATTGAGCTGTCTGGCGCGGTTTGATCAACGAGGTGTCTCTGTGAGGCCCTGTCGTGTCAGTTGTGCAATGGGTGTCACCACCAAAGGGCATTCCTTTTGATTACACTCTCAAGAGGCTCGTTTCCGTAGAGAATCGCACCTTGAATCCAGCAAACAGCTTTCCGACAGAACGGAGTTGACTCAGTTTATCTACTGCGGTCACTTTCCTATTGTGTTTGTATGGACTTCTATACCATCATTGATCAGCGTGACCAAGTCGATGTATGTAGGATTTTCCGGTACATTGTTGTCGAGTTTTTGCTTTTGGCTATCGGGGTTATGAGCAGCCACTGATTCCACAATCGGACAGGTCGCTTTTGACAGAGTAGAGCTGAAGACTGTCAGTATCACGTCTTCGGTAGTTGTGGGGCTCTCACAGTCATCCCCGACGTCAAGGTTATTGCTTATGACTGATCTATCGGTGGACTTCGCTTGTTGTCTCTGCACAGCTGACCCAATCCAGACTAGAACCTGTGTATTGGGTGTCAAGTCCACCGCTGTGTTTTATCGTCCGCTAGAAATCCTACATGTAATCCCACATGTTGGACGATGCCCCCACGATGGTTGCCTCAACCCGAGAATCACTGTCGTTGGTGGTCGAGGGGTCAGTGACGGTTGAGTATAAACTGCAACCTGGAGTCTCGGTCGGTTGCATCAGCGTGATTGTGAGAGCTCATAACTGCCATTGGGTTGACCATTTTGTATCAGCTGATCAGTTGCCAAGCGAAAGCTCTTTTCTCTCCCCCCCCCCACTCCTCAAAGAAAGCCGCGACCCAGTTTTCGCGCCTTTGGAGGGCGATCTTCGGATATACGCTTGGTCTTTGGGGAGGCCTTATGCTGACGGCCCGCACTAAGATCCTCGGTATGACAAATGGAGGAGTAAAGCGCGACTGGAAGCCTGAAAGTCCGTTTGCTTCACTTTTCGCGTAACCATTCTGTGTGAAGCGATTCGTATTCAGGTTTTGTGACGGTAACACCAAGGAGCGACTGTGCGTTTTGTTGGAGCGATTACTTTGGAGAACAATCGTCAGGTGATCTGCCTGCTCTCTCTCATACGCCTGTCCACTAGAGGCGCTGTGGCGGCCTTGATTGCCACATCAAAAAGCTGGATAGCCTTTTTTGCAACCGAGGGATCCGGAATGGATAGCGCCAGGTGCTCGTCTATGGAGGAAACCTCGTTATCGACTTTGACAGAGGCCGCTTTGTCCTTTGTGTTTGTCTACCAGAGTTTTGGAAAGAAGTACCAGTTTTCCCTGAGTATCCCGATTACGACGAAACATTCGGACTGGTCATCCTGACACAGAAGTGGAGACTTAGTTTGTCTTGTTAGTTCTGATGCATAGCATCAGTAAGGCAGAGACAGATGGCGCAGACAACCGGGTCAGAAGAGTTGCATACTTGGATAATTTTGCCACGAGCGACAATAGCCTGGACGATTTTAAATCTCAGCTCACAGTCATCACCTAAATCGAAAATTAGTGTAAGAATAATATGGCAGGAGCATCTGAAGTGTTCAGTGGAATCGGGCTCTATCTTGTTGGGCGGGGAAGTTCTGGGGAATGCAATTAGCTTGATCAAGTTCACAGCAGTGGAGAGACTAAGGTATGCGAAAAGGGTAGCAGTTTTGTTAGCCCAGAAGTGTCGCACAACGAGTATGCGCAAGCGGTCATCATCTGTCTGCAAAAATGATTATCCAAAGCTTAACCTGACACACTAGCATGCACTTAACATCAAATGTCCGGTGTCGAACAGCTCCGGGCGTGTGTTGCCCAAAATGACCGTATTTCAAACCGGCCAAACGGAACGAAAAGGCTGAGCTCTGATTGGAAGGAATGTGGACCAATCAGAACCGAGCGATGTCCGCATGATGCTCCTCGCCATTTGCGAGGATTCCCGCTTCACATTGCGGACGCTACGGTGATCACCCCAAAAAAGGGATCACTATTGGCACAATGAAACTGAACTTTAGAAAACCGTGACGTGTCCCTATTGAAATAAAGCAATCTCGCAGTTGGGTTGAGATTGTGGCGTTTTTGTACCTTTATTTTACTTCCATTATAACACTAGGTATTTCATCAATTGCATAATCGTTTTTTGTTTGAATACGAGAAACTACAAAAAACGCGCCCTTGTACAATTTCACATAATACAAGCGTGGTCACGTGCTTCGACTCTCTCTTCTGATTTCGCTCGCGCTTGCAGCGGTCATTCGCGAGTCTCATATACTAACTCTGGTACCCAAAACATTTCAGACTATCTTCGGAATCTATTATATGTGGAAACTGTTCAGAAGAAGACCTCTGGACCAACACTATTGGATTATTGTTTATTCGCTGACCTGGGCCAACGACGAACTATTTTAAAGAGAACAATTTTTAGTGAGTCTGTTCCATCTGACCTATTTATTTTTGTATACCCAACTTAGCGTAATTATTTTTATTACTTTGCCACACACTCCTGGTAAACTGACTTATTGGGTAGCCAGACCACTACAAGATTACCAGTCCGAAACTTTCTAGCATCGTTTAGGCATCTCGGGGACTCAGAGATGCTAGGAAAATATTCCACTAGACTTTTCCGCAAGAGGTATGATTGTTCCAGTGGACAATGAAATTAGATGAGCTGCAAAAATGAGTATATATTCGGATAGTTTTTAGTTTGAGCGCACTTATGAAGGTTTTGTAGCTAAGAGCACTGTACGGATAATGGCCCTCCTATAAGTCTATCTGTACCAGTTCCCCATACATTGAGCTATCGCGTCTTTTTAAGTGCCAACTTCTTGAGTAAGGATATTGCGGCAATTCATTTTTCGTTGTCAATACTCCAAGATTACTCAGGCCAATCATGGGAATTCACCACGTATATCGGCGAGTTTAGCCAAGAGCCGAATTACTTCGGACTCAGCTCGATGACCGAGGTTAGACTCGGAAGTCCTATCTCCGCGGCAGTTATTCAGTCGCCTTCAGATGCAGCCCTACAATCCCGGCTGTGTAATTCGAAGAGGCTTAGGGAGAAGCACTCACTAAGCTCACATTCCAGGCTGATGTTAAAACTACAAATATTCCCGGACCCTGAGTCTATCATGGTCATCGAGACAGCCACATGAAGTTGAGAAAATCCTCAATGGGACTCCGCCGTTGACTACTGTTTAAATGAGTGAATTCGTTCCACCAGACAACATCCCTTAAAAGGCTTGCGGGAACCGATATTGATCTGCGCAATAGATGAGCCACTCCGGCGTTGAACCAGGCTGCAGACGAAAGTTGTGCCAAGGCGACCCCGTTTTGTTTCGATTCAAGCCGATATATTTCTAGCCAAACCACTGAGCGCGGTGAGTGAAGAAAAAACAATTTCCTTGGGAATTTGTGTGGGATTCTCCGACGATATTTTGTGAAAGCGTATCACGACAAGCAAATGTATCACGATGACGGTGGAGGCAACCAGTGCCAGTCCACTCGCCACCGCTAGCACCTGCGATATAAGACTAGAAACATGACTTACCTTTGTGGACATAAAGTTCGCCTAACGAAGGAGTGGAGGTGTACAGTAAATCAGCAATACGAAAACTTCTATGGCTGGTCAGTGCACGGACATCGCTAGCGTTTATCCCAAAAGTTGAAGAAATCTTGTTACCTTGTCTCGTGGTGAGATGTCGAGAACTTGTATTCAGGTTGTTTTTCAGGCAGGGGTAGACAGTACCACAAACCAAAACCACTGGGGAAATCGACGGATCGCCTGAACATAAGTTTCACGTTGAGTGACTTCTTGTAACATTTACCGGTCGCCCAATGTCATGACAACTGATAAGGGACCAGCATCTTTTTCTGGCCACCTAAGAACGCACATATTAATTCGCTCCCAAATAATTTACCCCGGATGACCTTTATTCGACCAAGTGTCTGTAAGTTTATAATCTACAATCCGACCTGTTGCAAACGACGCAAGCGCGCGGAATAAAATTTCAAAACACACGACATACTCTTTGGCCGGATGGGCGTTGCTGGCCCCAATCCCTTATCCAAGCCGAGTACTCCACTACCCCATTTGAAATCCTCTGTGCATTGTGCAATCTCCGAAGGACTTTGTGTCGCACAGGATAGATGTTTTAAATATCGTATCGATAATTACCTCTGTGAACATCAAGAATTAAAAAACGTACAGTCAGCAATAGTAAGATATGTAGGAGGAGAATAGGGGCAATGAAGCAGCAGGGCTTCCTGGAAGAAATGTCAAATAATCACCGAAGGAAACAAGTTTACGAGTAATTGCAGTTTGAGAGTGTAAATGGAATCATGCAAGAATAACGCGGCTGAATGCAGTCACTGCATTCGTTGGCATCACCCAGTCAAACGGAAAGTGAACATATCTGGGACAAACAATTTCGGGATAGTTAAGAATAAATTAAGTAAGCCGTCATGCTTTAGTTAACAAAGCGGCTGTACTACGAATGAAAAGTGGAACTCGCTTTGGTTCTCTGAAGAAACATCGTACTAAACAGTATCAAGTGAAATGTAATACAAAAATAACACATAAATAGCTCTTCCTAGTAAGTAGAGTTAGGGCAGTGGGTAACGCGCTTGTCCCCATTCGACGGGTCAAATAATGGTACCTGGTCGACAGAAGTTCTCGCATATACAGACACTAGGATGCAGATGGATTTGAGACGAAACTGCAGACGAACAAGAACATACGACAAAATCCCAACATTAGTCAGCAGAGGGCAGACAAAACCTAGAGGGGTTGAGAGACTGCAGAGTTAACGGCGGGTGAGCGAAACGGTGGTTTCCTAAATGGTGTAATTGCCACTGCCGCTGCCCAAGGGTGGTTTTGAGTCTGAGACATAAACTTCTTATCTAACTCAGTCATGTTTGTTATCGATTGTCTAAATGGCCCAGGAACAAGCATCGTAGTGGTGATATTCTGAAAACGGAACATCAATCGTAACTATTCCAAATAAAAGAGTTCCATATTTGCCCTACTTTTAGAACTTGAACCCTAACGCCCGAAGATGAAGGTCATTGCCTTTGTTAGGTTCAGTTGAGCAATTTCCAGGAAACATTCCCCACAGCCTGGAGCAAAAAGCACGCTGAAATCTAGAAGGCTTTTCTTTGAAGGACAGTGTAACTGGGTTGTATGATTTCTAACGAGCATTTCTCGTTCTTTATATACTTAGTCTATTTACCTAGGCATTATGTGGATAGAGCCTTTAACTTTTTTCATCCGGAATAATCCTACCGTAGACTTGGATGAATTTGATGATGAGGTGGCGGGTCTATCTTCGACTGCGAATAACTGCAATCGTCGCTCGCGGCCACTGTACAATTTAACGCTGGGCCACCGAAGAGGATGAGTAATCTGGCGCTGCCACGATAGCCTTGATCCGGTAGCTTGGAGAAGCCCATTCAAACAATCGTCCCGATTCCTGACTTCCGGTACTTTTCCGCCGACAGTTGACTTAAGCAAGTTCAAATTTCGGGGGTGCTCAGTGTTCTCACAATGGGATTGAGCTTTCGAAAGTTATGACGCGCCCGTGGTGGACTAAAGCAATCGGACAATTGAGATGAGAGTAACACTCTGAACTTTTAAGCCCCATTCAGGTAGCATGGGGTCTCAGCGATGCTGGGACATTATCCCACAGGACTTCTCCGTCAAAGGCATGGTTGCTTCAGTGAACAATGAAATTTAGTAAGCTTCAAAAATTTGAACATAAATCAGGACGGCTTTTGGTTTGAGCACATAGGCAACAAAGTGCAACATTTTCGCACAGAACGTTTTACTCCACTTCTAAAGGTTTTGCACTGATAGCATTGTGCGGATACTGGGCACCAAGTTGGGGTTACGTTATATTTTTCACTTCAAAAGACGCAGGTCTCTTTCACTTGGATGAAAATTTTGATGCCCGCGGCTTGCGGAGCTTAGGTAATCAAAGTAAAAACCACGAAATTTATTTGCGATACAGACACTTTCGTTTTGGTGTCCAATCGGGAGCCGGACAGGCGAAATGTTTGTTTTAAGAAACACTGCTTTTGGTGAAAATCGCAAGAAACTCACCTTCTTAGAAGACTGTGTTTAAGACTCGACGAGCAACCGGCTTGATACTGTTACTTTTGAATGATAGGCGCAAATTGAGTACAGATCTCCGTGACCACTCGGCTGCCGTTCTTCGTATGAGAACCATGTTCTACAAGGGCAAGGTGCGAGCGCGAAGCCTGTGACTGTTAGTGTTATCGTCTTTTATTCGAAGTAATATAAAAAGGTGGATAACACTAACAATAAGTATTTATGTATAGTGGTTACCAGAGACACTAGTACAACTGAATAATAAACAAAAGTAATAAGGGATTTACCGAGTTCCTCGTGTGATAATTTGTAGTAGATGCAGCAGAGGTTTGTAGGACGCACTGGAATTGAATGCGGGTATTGACGGATTGTGTTGAAATCTGGTCTATTTCTTGTCTTTTAATCCAAAACGATATCGAGCCCAGACTTTTTCTGCACAGTGAGTCGTGCGTAGGTTTGAACAGACCAGGTCAAAGCGTTGTGAGAAGCGACGGGCGTCGGCCTCCTGCTGTCGTTGTTCCTCATATATATAAGATTATTTGTGAATGAGGATGAGCTTGCGTTATTTGTCTTAAGATGGGATTCCAATCTTCTCGATTGGTCTTGGGGCGCATGTTCATGACATAATCAGAATAGGAGTGAAACAATCGGTGTACATGCGTTTAAAAGATTATGTGAGTGGATGAAACTAAACATTGATGAGATAGTA